TTTTTGCAACAGCATCACACTGTTGACTCATATTCAACTTGTGGTCTACTATGACCCCTAGATCCCTTTCCGCCATGCTCCTTCCTAGACAGTCGCTTCCCATCTTGTATGTATGGAACTGATTGTTCCTTCCTAAGTGGAGCACTTTGCATTTCTCTTTATTAAACCTCATCCTGTTTACCTCTGACCATTTCTCTAACTTGCTAAGGTCATTTTGAATTATGTCCCTATCCTCCAAAGAAGTCGCAACCCCACCCAGTTTGGTATCATCTGCAAACTTAATGCTATGGACTACATGCATTTCCACCCCATCATTGATGAAGATATTGAACAGTACGGGTCCCAAAACATTAGGGGGCTGGCCAGCAGCCCAGTCCCGGCTTGCGCTGGGTCCAGGACCTACCTCTGCTGTGGCTCCGCATTTAAAGAGTATTAGGAGCCCAGCTGGCAGGCAGCCCGGCTTAGTTCTGACTTCCTTCGGGTCTGGGAGCTCAGACGCCCCTGGATGGGGCAGCTGCCACCCTGCACTGCTGCCTCTGTATCAGAGGCAGCAGCGGGGGGTGACAGACAGCCGGTCCGCAAGAGGAGCTGGTTTTTAAAACTGGCTCCCCTCTTGGACCAGATCCCTCCTGGCACCCCACGCTGCTGCCTCTGATTCAGAGGCAGCAGCATGGAGCGGCGGGGGCTCGTCAGGAGTGAGCCCTGGAGTGCACTGGCTGCCAGCCCCGCCCCCGGGGACTATAGAATAGTCAAGAAACCGGTAAGAATTCATGAGGTTAATCGACTATTCAATTAATCGAGATTTAACATCCCGACTCCAAAGCCCCCACTGACAATGGGGCTAGCAGGCTCTTCTGTTTACCTGGAATGAACTGAAACCTCTCAACTCCTCATAGTCACATGGGGCTCTAGGTCAGTGGTTCTCGGCCTTCCCAAGCTACTGTCCCCCTTTCGGAGTCTGCTTTGTCTTGTGCCCCCCAAGTTTCCCCTCCCTTCAAAACTATTTGCTCATAAAATCAGACACCAAACCCCAGAAGCACCCCAGCCCCACACACTGAAAAACAGCGTATGGTCTCCTTTCTACCATGGCGTTATAAAATAAATCCAGTGGGAGATAAATACGATACTCACCTTGCCGCGTGCTGTACACAAACACATCATTGCAGGACATCTCTGCTGGTACGGACTTTGCTAGAGCTTTTCAGGGAGCTGGTTATAAAACTAGGCAAATGGCTGGATGAGTTGATGTGACCTCCAAAGACCTCTGTGTACCTGCACATCCCCCGGGTTGGGAACCAGGGCTCTAGGCTGCCCTAGAAGCTGAAGGAATAAGGACCCTTCGCTTGCTGGTGCATGGCAGCAAGACAGAGGGGCTTGCCGAGAAGGCATCAGCCTGGGACTCTGAAGGACGGAGTTCATGCCCCACCTTTGCTGCAGACTGCCTGAGTGAACTCAGCAGGACAGATATAGGAGCCCTGGCCCTTAGCAGCCATCTTCTCTACTCTGAGGGTGTGTCTAAACTACATGGCTCCATCGATGGAGCCATGTAGATTAGGCTGATCGGCAAAGGGAAATGAAGCCGCGATTTAAATAATCGCGGCTTCATTTAAATTTAAATGGCTGCCGCGGTGAGCCGATAAACAGCTGATCAGCTCTTTGTCGGCTCAGCGCGCTAGTCTGGATGCTCCCGCGCCGACCTGAAAGCCCTTTATCGACCTCCCCGTTATGCCTCGTTGGATGAGGTTTACCAGGGAGGTCGATAAAGGGCTTTCAGGTTGGCAGGGGAGCGTCCAGACTGCCCCGATCTGCCGACAAACAGCTGATCGGCAGAGCGGGGCAGCCATTTAAATTTAAATGAAGCCGCAATTATTTAAATCGCGGCTTCATTTCCCTTTGCCAAACAAACACATCTACATGGCTCTGTCGACGGAGCCATGTAGTTTAGACGCACCCTGAGAGGCCAGGACAGCCCCACTGTAGGGGTATGAACAGCACTTAGCACAATGGGATGCTAATCTCACCAGGTTTGCTATTATGACACAAATAAAAGGCGAGTTGCAGGGGCTAAAAGAGGGATGGAGGGAGGGGAAGCTTGGCACGTGGGAAACAAGCAGTTCCTCCAAACTTCCATTCTCTTTACAAAAAGTAATTATGTAGCACTTTAAAGACTCAAGTGCTACATAGTTTTTCCTTTTGTTTGTACACACAGTGTTACCCAGCAGCTGTGGCCACGCAGGTGCAATGGTCCAGTCCGAACCAGCTGCTGCGAGAGTGCCTGATCTCAGAAAAGGAATGTGAAGGACTAGTCGACTATCCAATAAGCAAAGGCTTATCAAATAGTTGACTATCCTGTCAACTAGTCCTCCCCACACACACACACACACACTTGCTGCCTCTATCAGACAGAGGCAGCAAGGTGGTGGGGAGGGAGGGGAGACCCGGGCTCCGTGGGGCACTGCTGCTTTAAAGTGGCCACACAGCTGACTCCGGGCTCCATGCAGTGCTGCCCCTTTGAAGCGCCACGGCGTTTCAAAGCGGCAGTGCTGCGTGAACCCCGGATCAGTGGGGAGTCCTCAGCTGATCCCGGGCTCCGGGCAGCGCCGCCCCTTTAAAAAGCCGCTGCGGCGTTTCAAAGGGGGAGCACCGCCCTATCAACTAATTGAACAGTCGATGCAAAAATGCATCGACTACTCAATTAGTCAATTACACGGTACTTAACATCCTTACTCAAACACTGGTGACATTATAAGGAAAGTAAGCCATCCCTGCCAAAGGCTGCAGCGATTTCTGGCAGCAGCAAAGTGGCGCAAGAACATGGAGTCCTCCTCGCTGTCATCGCAAAAGAAAAAAAAGAGACGGCGGCCCAAGAGAAATGGGATTCCAGTGAGACAGAGCCGTCCCATCGATCGCCGTGAGTAAACTGGAGCTGTAGGGCTGCTACACACATGGAGGCAGCAGGTCTGGCGGACGCAGCACGGCACAGCTATGCCAGCAAGGCTTGGCTACTCCTTCCTCGGCTGCCCCTGCAGGCGTTTGCTCACCCTTTTTAGATTAATCTAATTACTAGTGTTCTGAAAGCCATTAATGTCTCTCCACGGAGTTAGCGTCTCCTGGCTGCTGGCTCCTTTCCGGGGCCTGGCCGGGGTGTGCAGCACAGCCGGAGCAGCCTGGCCACTGTTGTCTGAGAGCTGCCCCCCAAGAAAGGAGGCAGGAGGGAGCAAAACCAGGCAACAGCACTAGTTGATAGCACCCAGCTTGAGTCCTCTCCCTGCAGCTGTTGGTTTGACCTTTGTAAGCCTGGCAGGAGCTCAGAGAGCTGCTCCAGTGCACAGCTCCCCCTGCTTTAAAAGCCTGCCTGTGATCAGACAAGGCTCTGCTGTGATTTCCCCGAGCAGGACTTGCAGCCTTAGCAAGGGCAGTCTCTGGCTTTGCACACTCATAGGTGCTCACACTTGCATCCTCCTGGCCTCTGGGTCACTCTCCCCACTGCCTGCTCCCGAGCCTTCAGGTAAAAGCAGCTGACGGAGCCCTGATGGGAAAGGGGGCCCAGGGGCCCAGGCTGAAGTCAGGAATTGAGACAGAGGTTAACGCCTAAGTACTGTTGTTTGACCTCCACTTCTTTGACTCACTCCAGTTAGGCAGCCACAAGGAGACAGAATGGGGGGACGGGGAGATCTAGAAATCCCCACTAATACTCAAAAGCAAGAAACAGCATGTGGAGAACACAGGGAATGTACATGACAGAGCTAGGGAAGGACTTGGGGAAACAGACACCACAGGGAGGTTTGGGGTTTTTTTTCTGACTCTTTTGAGAACCCTTAAGACAATGCAAAGTTCAGGGGGTGGGGGTGGGGATTTCACCTTCCTCTGCAGCATCAGGCCTAGGTAACTTGTGGGTTTAAACTAGTGTAAATGGTGGAGTCTCTGTAACTTGAAGTCTTTACTTTTTTGTGATTTGAAATAACAAATAGTCCTGTGGCACCCTAGTGACTAACAAAAACATAGTATCATAGGCTTTGGGATTATTTTACATTTTTATATGTTACATATTTTTGTTAGTCTCTAAGGTGCCACGGGACTACTTGTATTTAAAGTTACAGACTAACATGGCTACCCCTCTGAGACTAAGGGTATGTCTACACTTGCACCCTCTTTCGAGAGAGGGATGCAAATGAAGAGATTCGAAATTGCAAATGAAGCCTGGATTTAAATATCCCGCGCTTCATTTGCATATTCCCATTATGGCGCTAATTTGAAATAGTGCTATTTGAAAATAACAGACGCTGTTAAGAAGCGGTTATTTTGAGAGAAAGCCCTTCTCTCGAAATAACTGGTAAACCTCATTGTATGAGGAATAAGGGTTGTTATTTCGAGAGAAGGGTTTTCTCTCAAAATAACCACATCTTAACACTGTCTGTTATTTCGAAATAGCGCCATAACGCAAATACGCAAATGAAGCGTGGGATATTTAAATCCCGACTTCATTTGCAATTTTGAATCTCTTCATTTGCATCCCTCTTTCAAAAGAGAGTACAAGTGTAGATATACCCTTAGTGATTTGAGGAATTCAATAACTCAGCCAAACACTAAATGTCTATTGTCAGGGGGGGTGGGGAGAGGAGATTCTGTGGCCTGCAACATGCAGATCAGATTAGGTGCCCAGACGAGGTGCGGACAAAGAGCGAAGGACACTCAACAATAGCATGAAGCACACTGTTGCAGAACTCTCTGCTCGCCCTGTGTATTCTGTGGGCAGAGGTTCGATCCAAGACTTGAAATCTTTTCCATCCCTCACGCCACAAATCCTATGAATTAATCACCCGCAGCACATTTCTGCAGACCTCTTGAACAGGGAGTTTAGTGACACCCTGCTTCTCAGTTGAAACGGTCACATCCTGAGCCAGCAAGAGGACTCCGGGTCCTGGCTCCCAATCTCCTACTCTGACCATTAGGCAATACTATCTGGAGACTTTACAAAGAATGACAGGGGAAGGGAGACGTGCTCTTCAGAATCCTTTATTACATCTGAAGTTAAACAAGGGTGTTAAAAATTGCACCATCCTCATGGGAAATACGAGGCACTGGCGCTGCCTCGAGATGCACAGGCAAAATGTTGCAATGTTGGAGTGAACCCAAGAGTCCAGCAAAAAAAGTTACATGTTAAACCATGGCCTCACGCCAAGATTTCAGTCCTGGTGAGAATGCACAGAGGGGTCTGGAGACAGACTGGGCTGTACAGGAACACCAAGCGACTGTTTCTGGTGAGGGAGATGCTGGTTTATGGAACCACCCACTTCATTACACCCCACTTAGCTGTTGATGACAAGGCTTTTGATAAACATGGTATGATGGATTCCAGCCAAAGTCGGTGACCTGCTGCTCTCAGCTCCTTCTGACATGCTCTGGGGCCCAGCTCCAGCTATCAGGCTGGGCAGCCACTGTCTACTCCCCGATCTCCCAAAATACATGGGCAGGAACCTTGCTCCGAGGATGCGGGACACAGGCCTGAAAAGAGGGAGCTTGTCTGATCTAATAGAGATTCTTCCCCTGGGCGGTTCTGCTTTGCTGGTGCCACCATCATTTGTGACAGGCTGTCAGGAGCCCGGACTGATGAATGTGTAATAGGAAGAGATGCCGGGAGGCAATTCGGCCACAGCGGAAGCATCCTCCTGTATCCCGGCTTGAAGGAATGTTGCCACATGACAATATATTGGGGCTTTCCAGGAAGGGAGAGCAGCTCTGATTACACACAGCTGGCCACGTGTGCAGTCAGCCTGGGAATCCCCTAGGGATCTTCTATGCACAAGGATGCAGCTCAATGGCAGAGTTTGGTTGTTAGGACAGTAGCTGCCTAGTGCTGGGATGAAGAGAGGAAACTCGGCCCTCTTCGCCCCCCATTGCCAACCCCTGGCCTCGCGCTGCTGCAGCTGGGCACGGCAGCAGAGCGAAAGCCCTCAGCAGAGACCTACAGACTCAGTCACTGGTGCTGTCGTCACTGTCGGAGTACGCCCCCAGCAGGCTGAGGGAAGAGCCCTGGGCAGCTGCCGGGGGCTGGGACCCAGCAGGGAATGAGGAGCTCCGACTTCCAGCATCTAGAAGCCAAAGAGAGCAGGTTCGATCAGTCACACCACACACCCACCGCCGGGGAACAGAGCGCTGCAGCGGGCAGACGGCTGATGAAATCAGGAGTCCTAGCACTCCTGCTGCTGCATGGATGGGCTTCTACCACCGCGCCTGGCCCAGGCTATGTCAGGCCCTCGCCCTGGGCATCCACCGCGACACTAGGCATTAGGGCCTGGAGTGAAGCTGTTTTCTCAGTGCCCTGCCTGAATCTCAATGAGGATTAAAAGGTTTCCCATTGCTAGGGGAAGAGACTGTTGCATTGCTACTGAGGCCCAGCTCCTGCCCTCTTGTGGTGCCATAAGAAAATGGAAATGTCGGATTTTCTTCCGGGCATGGGGACTGCCTGCGGCTAGAAGAGGGCGAGGGGAGTCAAACCTGGGAGGGGGCCTCTCGTGTGTGAAACTGTCTGGTTTGTACAAGCGCCGAAGCTGGAGGGGGGGCGGAGGGACGGGTGCGTGGATCACGTCGGGAAGGCATTCAATCAGGCTGTTAAAGCACCAGGTTTGGCTCTGCGCCAATGTCATCTTACATAAGCACGGCCAGACTGCATCAGACCAAAGGTCCATCTCGCCCAGTATCCTGTCTGCCGGCAGCGGCCAATGCCAGGTGTCCCCGAGGGAGTGAACAGAACAGGAAATCATCACGTGGTCCTCCTGGCAGCCATTCCCAGCCTCTCACAAACAGGAGAGGGACATCATTCCTACCCATCCTGGCTAACAGCCACTGATGGATCTAACCTCCATAAATTTATCTAGTTCTTTTTGGAACCCTGGTCTTCACAGGAGTTCCTGTCATGAACAAACTACATGCAGCCCCAGGATCATTTCACCCACCATCAAAATGCAGTCACCTCGGTGACAGAACACAGCCGCTGTTCAGTAGAACAATGCAATCCCACACCACAGCTTACAACAGGAAGTAAAGAATACCGTATCCAACAGGAAGGGCAGGGACGTTTGGGGAGGGCAGAACAGCATTACCCAAATAGCACGGCATACAACATTATCTTCCCTGTAGCAGCAAAGGGAGATTTAACCAACATAAAAGGAAGACAGAAGGTTGTTTCTGAGCTGTTCCAGGCTGTTTATGTTATCGCAGTAGACTCCTGTGCCGGTTGTTTCAATATCGTTATGGAAAGTGTATTTTGGAGCAGCACAGTAAATCAAACTCCGTGCCAGACCTCATGTTACCATCTGTATTGCTGGAGACCAGGGCCCTTTTGGGTTAGGTGCTGTGCAGACACAGAATCAGAGGAGCTCAATAATTTGATGAGCAATAATAACTATATTATTATCATGGTGCTTCCATAGACCGCACTGTCACTGTATGGGAGCATGAAAATGTCTATATAGAAACTCAGCTGCTGTCCATCAGCTTTCATGCTTCAGGTCACAAGCTCTTTGCCAGAGTGGTCAGGAAGGAATTTTACTCCCCCATAACAATGCACTCTATGGAAGGCTGGAGAGAGGAGACAGCTTCCTCTCTCAAACACTGGGCCTTGACCCCTACTGGAAATCCAACACCAGACTCGATGCCAATCTCTTGGGGCGTGAATGACTCAAGTGCAACGTGTCACTGAAGCCAGCACAAGCACATGTATGATTCAGCTGTTTGATGCCAGGTGAGACGGCACTAAAGTTACCTGAGCTTAGTGATGTAGTTTGCTTCTCCACGCCGTTAGCTGCAGCGGAGCTCGGGGTTTGTTTCTTCACAGTGACCAGGCCTGCCAGCTGGGACTTGCTGTTCAGTTTGCCCACACTCTTCTCCCAGCTTTCGGTCTTTAGCTTCTTACTCTGGGGCTCCATGTCCTACAAAAGGGAGCACAGATATTAACCGTCTCTGTCTGTGGGGCAGCTGGTGGGGAAGAGAGGCTATAACGACAACATCAAAATCAAGGATGGTTTGGAGCTGCGGACACAGAGGTTTCATGTCACAGAGCAGCAAGGAAAGAGGGTAGCTAAAGGGGGTGAGGAAAGGGTTTGGCTAGGATGGGACCCAGCACTGTTAGGCATCAAGGAACAAAACGAGCACACGAAGATTCAGGCGGGATCCTGCTGTCCCCAAGATCAAAGAGGCTGTGGAAGAGCATCCCCACTGGGTTTAACACACTCCTGACTAGATGGCTCCGGACAAGTAGCACTGGGACTGGGAACATTTCACAGTTCAGCTCCAGCCTGGCTAAGGGGCCACTGGAAAGCTTTCACCAGCCTGTCAGTGGATGAAGATCAAAGAGACACCTGCAATCAGCACTAACTGGCCTGTTTGCTGGATTCACTGTGGCAATTCACACCAAGGACCAACCGAGCTCCCTCTGCCTCAGGGCTACCAGAACAACAGGCTGGGCCCATGCCGGAGAGCTCGCTCGCCCTGCTGTGAATAAGCACAGGGCTTCAGCCTTCAGGGCTCTCCAGACAACACTCCCACCACTGCTAATCTTGTACAAATGTAAGCCGTAGCAATACAACAATTACACCATTCTGATCCTTTCAGGTACAAGCCGAGACATGCTGACCACTGAACCCTCGTCAGGCATAGCGCTGGGGGTAGGGCTCTCCGCGGCGGCTCACTCCCATGGAGATGAGCCCTTTTGTTAGGTGATACAGGCTGACATTTACTTAGACCACAACCTCTCATTTCTTCCTTTCCGTCTAGTACACGAAGAGCCACATTTTCTAAATCGCATACGACAGAGGCAGTTCTGTCTCCGAGTCTGCAAACCAAGGGATTTCACATGCAATGTGGTCTGCTGGGTTTTAGTTTGCCTCCTTGTGGAAAAATATCCCACCCCTGTGAGCCACAGTGCTGGAAAAGCCCCTAGCTCCAGGATTTACCTCTTGCAAGATGTCTGTGGGTTTCATTTTTGGTACTGATCTCGAGGGCACTTTGTCAGCTTCCTCATCAGAGTCAGAGTCTTCCAGGAACCGCCTGCTCTGGGCTTGCTCCAGCATAGCTCTGCAAAACAAAGGGATCCCCCCACGGAGGTGTAATGGAACAACTTGATTACAGTTTAGACATAGGGTAGGCAATAATTTTAGATGGGGCCACTTCACTTATTTTTTAAGTGGCCCTGGGCCACCCCGGAGGGGTTCTGAACAGCTAGCGGGTCTCTCTAGGCACCTGCCTCCTTGCAGGGCAGGAGGAGACTTTGTGAGCTCCCACCTCACACCAAGGCCAATCAGGGCCTGGGGGCAGAAGGAATGTGCAAAGTGCTCCCCGCCCCCACCCTGCATGGGGTGCGCAGCACTTAGAGTGAAAACACTGCGCTCCCTGGCAGGGCAGGAGGAGACTTCGTGCATTCCTCCACCCCCAGGCCCTGATTGCCGGGGGGCGGGGGAGTGGCAGGACGTCCGCGGGCCGGATCCAGCCCTCAGAGACCCCTTTGTCCACCCCTGGTCTAGAGATACCCGCATGGTATTTGATAACGGCTCTCCAATCTAGCAGGAAAAGGCAGAGCACGCTCAAATGGCTGGATGTTGAAAGCAGACAAATTCAGACTGGAAGTGAGGGGCTATGTTTTTAACCTGAGAGAATAATTAACCATTGGAACTAGGGGGGGGGTGGGATTTTCAGTCACTGGTAACTTTTAAATTAAGACTGGGTGATTTTTCTGAAAGATCTGCTCTGGGATCTATTCTGGGGCATTGCACAGGAGGGCTCGCTCAATGATCACTACGGACTTTTGGTCTTGGATTCTAGGACGCAATGAAACCCATCCACCTTCAGGAGCCCTGCAGCGAGCCATGGTGTCCTGCACACGATACGGCTCTGCTATGCTACCACTGAGCTGGGACAGCCTCTCCTGCCAGAATTCAACAGCTGCCTTAGAGCCGCTGGACACAATCAGCCGTTCCCAGGCTGTTAGCTGCTACAGCATGGCAGGCCTGGAGTCTGTCAGCGCTCCAAGTCTTCTTTTTCAGGAGCAGTTCAGCGCTGCTGAAAAGTCCATCATGTCGCCCCAGAACAGCAGCATGGACGAAGAGTTAGGAGTTTTCCCCACACCCGGACACAAAGGCGCTTTAGCCCTCCTACACCCTGGAAGAGGCTTGCTCTCAACGAAACCCGGACACAAAGGCGCTTTAGCCCTCCTGGAAGAGGCTTCCTCTCAACGAGTTCAGTCTCAGAGGCCAATTCAGCTGTTGATCTCTTTGCCAAAGGTGCCGGCTGGGACAGTGATTTTTGGCATGCAAATACCTCTCCATGGAGGAACACGTCACTTACATTTCCCTTACCTGCCTCAATACTTGGGCCAGCACACCTGGATCTCCTCACATCCCAGTTCACACCACCACCCAGCTATGCACACGTCCCACAACCTCAGATCGCAAGTGTTGCCACCCGCCCCTCCCCCCCTTGGCCCTGTCCTTCCCATTAGAATACCGGGGGGGAGGGGGAAGGGGGAGAAGATTGACAATACTGCCCAGCCCACAGATGTTAGCCTGGAAAGTTTCATATACCTAGGTGTGACCAGAACTCAAATATAAGCAATGTTTTCAGCAGACTCACTTCATCTCCTTTTCATCTTCCTCTAGTTCCCTTCGTTTCCGCTCCTCCTCGTAGTCCTTATACTGCTTCAGCATGGATTCAAAGTCCACATTTGCCTGACGCTGGTTCAGCTCCTTCAGCTCTTGTAGGTTCTCCAGCACCTCCATCTCCAGCTTGGAGTCCTTTGTTCGGTTCTCCAACACCTAGCAGGGAAAGCAGGAAAGCCCTTGAAGCACTGAGTAAGCCACATCAACAACTCCTGAACTGTAGTTTCCATTACTAGTATGGAAATTCTCAAGTGTCTGCTGCTACGGATTAGCATGTGTAATAGGCAAGCAACAGCAGGACTGTGGGAAGCCTCATTTTCAGATCTTAACAAGCACAATTAAAGACTATGGTAAAATCCCTTTCCTCATCCTAGGATACGACAGAACCTAGCAAAAGCAGAGACCTCAGTTACCATTTCTGTTTTGCCAGTTCCAAACGGTTGCTGCAGAACCGGGGCAGTAGCTTCCTACCATGCACCGAAAAACAAGTGGCCTGTGACTTGCTAATCTAAGTTGCCCATTCACCATGGGGGAAAGGGCACATTCAAATACCTTCATGGGATTGTTCAGCTCTTCCTCCTCTCTCTCCTTCTGCACCCTCTTCTCCTCTTCCTCCAACAGCTTCTCTGCTTGGAAGTTCCGAGTGGCGCCATGCTCCATGGTATAGTCTGTGTTCTCAGGATCCGTCTGAGGAAGACATGAGCAGCATAAGGGAATTATTGCAAGTGTGCCACATGCAAGACAGGCTGCTATTGCTCCAGTCATTCTTAATGTATTCTGGGCTGGTTATAAATGGCCAGGGTGACTTTCAAAGCAACACATGAAGCTACACAAAGCATTTCAACCTTGTTTTAGTCACATCCCTGCTCCTGCCAAAATAATAATTAAGCCCTAGAAACACTCATCATTTGACCAATAATAGTGCACTATTCAAACTATGAATGGGACACTTCACTGTTTGTTGTAAAGGGAACAAAGATCAAATTTGACCTATGATTATCTTAAAACAGCAGTATTTGTTGGGTGCCATCTAGGCCTAGGACTGAAGTCTCCTGACACACAGTGCCTCAATCTCTAGACCATGCTGCCTCCACAGAGAGTCCAGCTGATACAGAACATTCAAAATCTCCACCTTGAATGTGATTTCTGCCAGGCAGCGGGTGCACTTGATGTAGAAGCGAAAGATGGGAAGCCCCAAGTACACTTCATTCTGAACCGTCTCCTTGCGAGCATTAAATTTCTTGCCTTTATAGATGTACTCGCCACATGTCTTGCACCTACGTGAAGCAAACGGAAAGTGAATTACGTTGACAACATATAAAAGAAAACTAGAGAAAAAACAACAAGGAATCCAGTGATACCTTAAAGACTAACAAATTTATTTGGGCACATGCTTTTGTGGGCAGGAAACTTCAGTGCATCTGACAAAGTGGGTTTCAGCCCACAAAAGCTTATGCCCAAATAGCTTTGTTAGTAAATAAATGTGTTAAGTATTTACAGTTCCACAGGACCTGTTGTGTTTGCTGAAACAAATGAACATGGTTAGCCCCCTGAAACTAGAGAAAGACAAGAGTCTGACATACAAAGGAGCTAAGCCCAATTTTCGTAGGCAGTGTCAAATTGAGAATCACATTCCCACTTGATCATTTTGTACCTATTCTTGTTATACATAACCTTTAAGATGACCAAAACAGAAAGACATTAGATACATAGCTAATTTTTCCATTTAATTTTTGATCAGTGTTACTTCTGTTGATTGACACTTCCCTCCCTCTCACATAATAGTTGGGGGGTGGGGTGCTCACCTGCACACTCTGGATATTTAGGTACTTATATGACCTACTTCCCCCTCCCCACCCTTCTGGCCACTTTCACTTCACTGAGAGAGCCTGTTGATGCTGATGATGTCATTCTGCCATCTGACAGGAACAACTTTTTTATTCAGAGAGAGATTATTAGTGGACAGATATGAACTGCTATGAATTAAAAAAACAAAGGACTGAGGCAAACGACCGATTGGGTAACTTGCCCAAGCTGACAGAAGGAGGCAAGGCAGGAATTGAACTCAGATCTCCTGAGTCATGATGCAGTGTTTTATCCACTACCCCATTCTTTTCTATCCACCTGTTTTTGGTGAGGTGTTTTATAGCAACATGGAAGCTGAATCTGAAGAGGCAGATGCATCAATCACAAGCAAATGGCTGGCTGGACTTGAGTCTGGTCACGCTGCCTTCAAGCCTGCTTGAAAGACCCTTACAAGTGCAGCAGCTGAACATTTGCTCAGCCTTACTATTTAAGCATCTGGGTATGTATGCACATATAGCCGTTGGGGTGTCTAAATTATGCCACTCTAGAGGATATTCGGCTATTTAGTTTACAGCTATACAAGGTTGGTCTGCCCCACAAAAGGAGTAAATTGTAAATATTCTGGTGCACACAGGAAGTTGCTCAAAGGAAATCAACTAAAGCCTCAAAAGCATTCCTTATTAACAAAATCCGGTCAGTACATTCTGCAAGTAGCTGGATTCACTCTCCACTCCAACATATAGTCAGGTCAGCTCGATGGAAACATAGTAAGAAACCACGGCAGGGATATGCTAGGTAACACGCCAAACTCTTGTGACAGAACGCAGTTCCCGTAGGCCCTCTCACCTCATGTTGAATGGAGCCATCAACCGCACAACATATTGACGATCCTTTGGGAGCTTGAGCTTTGGGATTTTAGATGGATCGAAGTCTGGCGGGTAGTATTTCTACAAGAACAAAGCAGACAGGCATCAGCTGGGAGGGAACAAAGCCTAACATGGGGAGGGTGACAAGAGAGGACTTTGCTCCTGCACTTTGGGATCCACAGAGAATCAGAGCAGGGCCAATGTCGCGCTCACATTAGGAACCTGCCCATTGCCTCCCACGCACAAAACTTATAAAGGCCTCCCAGAAGCACAGATGTAGCTGCCCCCTCCCCCACTACAGCACATCAGCTGGGAGGGAACAAAGCCTAACATGGGGAGGGTGACAAGAGAGGACTTTGCTCCTGCACTTTGGGATCCACAGAGAATCAGAGCAGGGCCAATGTCGCGCTCACATTAGGAACCTGCCCATTGCCTCCCACGCACAAAACTTATAAAGGCCTCCCAGAAGCACAGATGTAGCTGCCCCCTCCCCCACTACAGCACC